ATAACAGGGACGCTAAACATTCTTGCAAACTGTCTAAACTGAATTATACATGTCATGCAGGCATTCATGGAGGGAGTTTAACAGCAAATTAGTCATTCAGAAAACTAATTTTATTTTTTAACATGAAAAATTTACCGAGGTCCGGACCTCGGTGGCCTCATAGCTGGTTACGGGCCTCCTTTGAACAGCAGAAAACTGTTTTTTTTTTATATAAATGCAGTTACAAATTATTCCACGGTCTATATCTCAATCACAGGGTGAGTAAAATGGATAACTCTTCATATATTTCTGGTCATACCATCAATTTTATTTAATGTTGCCTAGAAAGGGGTGGCTCAACTTCCCCGCAGGCTCAAATCACCCCACTCTCCCCTATGCTGTTATCAGATTTGAAAAACATTCCCTATAGAACACAATGTGGTTTTAAGTTTACATAATACTTTATAAAATACAGATTGCTTCTTGCAAAATAACATAATTCCTTTGGAATTCTTCAGCTTTTAAGAACTGCCGGTTTCTCCGGTAGTGGGCGGAACTAATGCGCAAATGGCAATCTCATTGGCTGGTGCTCACCTATTATCGGCCCTGTTTTGATTTCAGCAAATCAGTTCGAGCTAATGCACACAACCTGATTAATATTAATGAATCCAGCAGCTCATTAATCCTTATTGCGTTTTTTATTGTTCTTATTAGTAGAATTCATATAATTATTATCTTATCAGTATTTTTGTTCGTTTTTTCCTAATTGTTTTTTTACAGAAACACTGAATGACCAAAAAAGCACCACCACCAGTCCGAAGTTCAGTTAAAATGACTAATATGCGCACGCACATGGTTATCAAGTTTTAATTGTAATTACTAAAGTTCTATCATTAAATAATACTTATCATATTATAATGCTTGACTGACTGATGTTAAGAGTGTACTTTCAGATATTTATAAAACTGTGCCATTTCACAAACACACACATATATATATAAGTCTGGCGAGTAAACTAAAAAATGTACTAGTCAATGGTGATTCAATTGCCAAGGTGTCCGTAGAGGGTTGATGCTTGATGCATGGTGTGGTTATGTGTGAGGATGTGGTTGTATAATTAACAATTAACATGATTAACATTACTGAATGTACATTACCTGAACGATTTGCCCTGACGGTACCCACACTTCTCAGTCCGAGGTTGGAGTGCAGTGTCTTCACCAAGTCGAAGCTGGTAAAGAAGTTGTCGTAGAATACCACAGTTGCCTCTTTGTGTGTGATAGTGTTGCAGAGTATTGAGACAACTTTGGCACCTAGGGAGAGGTCTTCCAAGTCCAGATGTGCATGCTCTTCCTTTTGAATGTTGAAGAATGTTGTGGCCCCTTGGTAAAGGATGAAGTCGTGGATAATGCCAATGGAGCTTGCCCGACAGAAGATCTTAAATCCCCACTTATCCGGCTTGTTTTTAATATACTGCCGGAGTTTGCCAGCTCTGGTGCCCTTGTAAGCCACCATCACTTCATCAACACTCTGCCTGTTGGTGGGGGGAATGAGAAGGCATTGTTCTCTGAGCATGTCTAAAAGAGGGCGAATCTTATGGAAGCGGTCAGTGCAGCCTTCCATCTGGAAGTTGTCGTTGAAGTGGACATTTCTTCGTAGCACTTTAAAACGCTTCACTGACATGGTATCAGCCACTGGTGGGAATCGTGACTCACAGGCCCAGTAATCTTCTAAAGAGGGAAATTCAAAAACTCCCACGTACAGCAAAATTGACAAAAAATCTTCCATTTCAGCAACTGTGGTGTTGATGGATGTCCCGGTCTGTTGAACTGAGTACTGGTTGGTATGCTCAGTTATGTGCTCAATCATCTGGTCAGTGAAGAGCCTCTTCCAATACATAAATGGTGACTGGACTGACTCTGGAAGCATGAAGACAGGCTCGGGCACAGTGAAAGGTGGAATGTCCTTCTTTACCCATGTAGTCTTTCATACACAAAAATGAAAAACTGTGTCTTGATTTATCAGTGCCTCAGGTACAGGTATCCATAAAAAAAAAACTGTTTTCCCAACATAGACACATTGAGATTTCATATAAATTGATAAGAAAAATGGTACTAATACTAATAAATATTTTGTGTACTGTGTATGATACATTAAATAACACACAACTATGAAATTAGATAACAAGACAAAATATTTCAGTGTGAATGATGAGGTAATTTTACTGTGCTAAATAAAATATGGACAATGCTCTATTTGACTGTTAACTAAATACAATTAAGGAAAACATGACATGCTTTTGTAGGTCCATTTAAAGGGACAGTTCATTCAAAAATAAAAATTAACTCTCATGTTGTTTCAAGGTTGTATGACTCTTCTGTAGAAGACTTCGAAAAATGTGTCAATGTTCACACTGGTTTCAAACAGCTGAGTAAATGATGACAGTTTTCATTTTTGGGTGGACATATACCTTTAATATATTAATATCTATTAGTACTTGCAGATTGTTGATTCCCAAACAGGTGTATGTGGAAAAATTTTGATTTTTTTTTTTTTTTTACTTAAAATAAAATAAAAATAATAATAGGAAGAAAATATGTGACAGATAGAAGTAAATGTGCATTTACTTGTGTGACTTTAATTATAATTTACATGATACATGATATCAAATATATGAAAAGTGTTGATAAAGATACTGATAGGGCTGTGGAGGCTGGGAAATACTGGTTATTAAAAATAAAAAAGATGATGAAGATGAAAGATAGAATGACACAGGATACTCACTCCCGGCTATAGTTTATATTCATTTTATTAGGCCACAGATACATTTGTAGAGGTTTGTTTCAGGCATTGTTGTATACACACTGCAGTACTAGTCACCAATGACAACTATAGGTAGGCTAATCTATTCAAATTAATTAATTAATTAAAGCCCCACAACTGAAATATATAAAAGCTTAAAAACACATCAAAAAAAAAAAAAACTATATTAGCCCAGGTTAGCATAAATTATTGTGCACTAATATTTTCAGTTCCATTAATTTGCGCGTTGTCTCAAAGACACGCCCACACTAGGGGAACTAATGAATAATCCGTAAACTCCACCCACTGGGACAGTTTTTTCACAGGAACTGAATATTACACAACACCGTCCCTCCCATAGACGCTGTAGTAGAAACACCCTCGCATTAGCGTTAATTAGTTTTTTGTTTGTTTGTTTGTTTGTTTTTTGTAATTGATGCAAAGGTGATAAGCATATACAGTGTTATAAACGTATATACATTTTTACAACCTTTCGAGGATTTACCATGCTGATGACTGTTAAACGCGTCATCACAGTCTTGTGAAAAGGGTCCATACAACACATCATACTGGCTGTAACCCCAGTAACCACGTCTCCATGGAAACGTTCACAACAAAACACAGCTGTGTGTCCTGTTTATTGCAAGTACGTTAAGTTAGCTGTGGTCAACACCGGTGTCACTGTTGTTTTTTTAACACTATTTGTATCCCTGTCATTACATCTGGCAGCTTTTTCACTAAAGCTCAAACAAAATGGTAAGTGCTTTTTAAAACGAAACCCTAAATTATGGTCAGAAACAATGAACTGTTAGCTTTGCAATTTACATTGGGGTTCAGGGTTCAGAACCGGACACGTTTTTGAAGTACGAAAACCATTACGTTAAAGTTTCCTGCACTCATGGACCGATGCTATCATCGTAATAAAATGTTCTGACGCTGTTATTTACTATATACTATGTAGTATATCTTATGGTTATTTTTAGTGAATCAAAAATGAACCGTTTCACAGCTGGAACTAACTGTTGTATGTGTATATGTGTATTCCCTACTTTAGTCCCCTCAAGGATAGTAATACCAGTCATTTTTGACATCGTGGGGACTTATACAGCTTATAAATGATAATAAAGTAAGTATTTTGAATGCAGAAAGTTTTCTGTCAGGGGTAGGAGTAGGGTTAGGGTTTTATACTGTTTATACGTTGGAATCTATGGATTGTGTCCATAAAATGGAAACCTGCACTGGTTTAGGTGGTTTATGAGGACACAAGTTCAATTCAATTCAAGTTTATTTGTATAGCGCTTTTCACGATTTTGTATTATCAATGTGAATGTTAAAATCTCCGACAATTAGCGCTTTATCAACAGTAACCAATAGGTCTGAGAGGAAATCTGCAAATTCTTTTAGGAAATCTGTATATGGTCCTGGTGGTCTATACACAGTAGCCAGAGTAAGAGATACGATAGATTTCTTTTGCATATCTGACAGTGTAACATTAAGCATTAGTATTTCGAATGAGTTAAACCTGTATCGTGTCTTCTGAGTAACATTGAGAATGTCACTATATATTGTTGCAACACCGCCGCCACGACCAGTCTGACGGGGCTCATGCTTATAACAGTAGCTTGGTGGAGTAGACTCATTTAGACAAGTGTGTATGTGTGTTAAAGGTTCATGAGACTTATATTTAAAATCATTAAATTAAAATACTTACTTAAATCATACAGCTTCTCACTAGTTGTTCCTGACATTTGTTCCTCAAAGATAATAAAGGAATCATTAAATTCCTTAAGATTCGCATGCCTCATGCTTTTCAGCCTCAAAGTGCCACATCCTCATGTGGAAAGCAGTCGGGCAGCAGTGCTTTCACTCACCGCTATCGCACACGAGCCCTCACCTCTCATGTGGATGAGACCCTCTTTGGGACACCAAAACAGGTAGAAATATGCCTATTGCACAATGGACATTGTCTTGGACATTGAATGAAAATAAAAAAGGAAGACTCAACTGTCTTTTGTCTCAGCATTCTGCTGGTGATATGAAAGACGATCCTGAAGGCGGAAGCGTGAGATTGAGGACACGCTCTGCTCCTGCACCCAAAGAGCCAAATTTAGAGACAGTGCGCATCATCACTAAAGACCTTATCAGGGACCTCAGGCAAGTAGAAGCAAAGGGTTTTTGCAGTGTGGTTACATGTAGTTATCCTTATTGAGGTATTTGCATTACCTGTTCGGACACTGACTTAAACCAAGTGTCAGAGAGTTTTGCACAGAAATAACTTTGTCACAGACTTTTATCCTACATGCAGCTTTAAAAAAATATGAGTCAAAATAACTTGACATTGTAGTCATAGGCTACATGCCTCTGTGTGTTGTTGTTTCATCATTGTTATATTAGTGCATAATCATTAAACTAGTCATGATTAAAAAAAAAAAAGAATTACAAAACTGCCAAAGAAAATAAACAAATTAGTAAGTACATCATTGTATGTGTTTAATGATTATTTTTAGTATCTAAAAGTATCAGCACAAAAGTATCTTGAACTCTCCTGTCCAAGTTGATTCAGTCATTTTAAATAATATTAAATAAATCAGGGGTTCTCAGCCTCGTTCCTGGAGCCCCCCAACACTACATGTTTTCCATGTCTCCTTAATCAAACGCACTGATTCCGATCATCAGCTCGTTAGTAGAGACTTCAAAACCTGAAATGGGTTTGTCAGACAAAGGAGAGATGCAAAATGTGCAGTGTTGGGGAGCTCCAGGAATGTGGCTGGGAACCACTGAAATAAATAAATAATATATTTCCAGTGGTAATTGGGAGAAAATAGTTTAAGTTATCCCACACTGAAATTGGTTTAATGAATATGTAGGCAGATATGTTTGGCATTCAATTTACATCAGATCGATTTTAATGTCAGGTTTTTGACGTCAGTTTGATTTGCATATTTGACCTGTTTTTTTTACGTTAAATTTGATGTCAAATTGATGTCTTTTCATCATCAGTTGCCCACTGGGAGGTAAGTGCATGTTTTTATCCCAGTACATCATGTTTTGTGTTTTCACTGCTTGCACTATTTTTATGCTCATTCTTTGGTTGTTGAACCAGAATCCCAAATGAGGACCCATCTGGGCAGTCTGTCATCCTGTCCACGGCTGAGTTCAGGCGAATCCTGGTGGAGTCTCATTCTCCTAGTGAAGAGAAGGCAGCTGTGCTACAGGCCCAACGCCAAGCCCGTGAGGAAGCCATGGTGAGTCATAATTATATGTTTGAAACCCAAATGAATGCACAACATTATTTTTTTATATAATATACTAAAATTTTACGTGTACTCTAGTTTTTTTTTTTACACTGATCAGCCCAGCATCCCTCCTACACCCCAACTTCTCCCTCTTAACTATTCTTTTCCCAGTTTAGGGATAGGTGAGTTCTCTGGGTTGGGGCTATATTCCAAGCTGAGAGCCCTCCCCTCGGACAGCATGCCAAATATGCTTAATATTTGCTCAACCTGATTATATGTAAGTGTGAACTGGTGAAGTTATGTTATTAGAAAGACAAACATTTGCAAATACGCAACTCTAGATGGTGGTATGGGGTAAAACTTCAACTTATTTTAACTAAAAATGAGAAGTAAACGGGCAGTAATTAGATATTAAATAGAACAAATAAATAAATTGCAAAAAATAGCACAAAAAACATAACTGAATGAATAAGCAAAAAATAAGTGAAATAATGCTTTTTAGTTTTTTATCTAAAGTTTTTTTCTTTTTTTCTTTTTAGGTAGGTCTAACAGTAGTATTCAGGTACATAAACTGAATAACGAATATAAAATAACACTGGATAGTCTTCATTCTATAAACAAATACAGATTAATCCTTACAATTAAAGTTACAATCGTTTTTTCTTCTTGATAGGTGAGTAACATTGATTTTTCAACTCATCTGTGTTGGCTTTTGTTTGAATATGCTTGTGTGTCATCTTAGCTTGTTTCCGCGATCGTTGATATGCCATGGTTGTGTACGTACGTGTGGGGCAGAGATTTCAAAATCGGTACGAGGTCCTGTTGGGGTATGGGCGTGTTAATATTTGAAAGCACCAAAACAAACATCGTTTGGCAAAAATCCCTTAGTGCACCTTTAACCGAATGAGTACCTTTAACCGAATGAGTACTAGACAATGGTTAAACAATGGGGCGTGGCCCCAAGGAATCAAAATCAAGGAGGCAGGACAGGGGAGCACATCACTTTTCAAAGGATGCTTTTTTCAGAGGTCACATTCGTCAGCCTCATACATCATCAAGGTTGTCTCATTTCAGAAAAATAGCTATTATAAAAATAACTTTTAGGCTGTGTGTCCACCAAAGCATTATTTCCCGAGGCTAGCATATTGTTTTCAATGGGAGTGCCACATTTTTTAAAATGCCAGCAGTGACGAGGCGCTGAGCATCTTTTTCACACTGAGTGCTTGGGTGATTTATTTTATATATATTTTTTTCTCTGTGCCGAGAGTTGACGCATGTTCAAATTGGGGTAAAACGCAGCACTCATCACTGTCACTTTTTAGTCAGCCGTCCAATCACAGTGGAGGAGGACAATTTGAAGGATGTGCCATTTGTGGACTATTGCCATTGAGGTTACCTCATTTTAGAAGAGTAAAACCCAAGAAGAAGACAATAGAAATGTGGAACACAGACAACACAGACAGGGCTGCCAGGGTAAAACCCTGACATTAATGATGAACAAATGTATTAAACTGAATGGGAAGAGGTGTATGCAAAGTTTGATTGTATTAGCGTTATGAAAAAGGCAGTTACTGTGTATTAAAACTTTATATAGATGAATCCCCTATTATGTGTTATGAAAAGGATACTTTGTGATCTTTTGCTGAAATGTTTTTAAAACAGCTTTTTTTGATGATCCGTTGTGAGATTAGTACTAAAAATAAAAAAATGTTGTGAAAATTGTACAAAAGCAATTTAAAAACAACTGTAACTTAATGCTTTTAAAGAATTTTAACAAGCTACAAATTGATTTGTTGATTCTTGTGTGCAGCTGGAAAAAAACAAAAACGTATACTGATAGCAACCAAGGCTCTGGTTGAAGCATCATTTGATTTACACAGAACGAACCTTACCTTGTAGACTTGTTTTTGTATTCGACTGCACTGCTTTTCGAGTTTTTATTTTTTTATGTAAACATGTTTTGCTTCAACATCTGACACAGCATTCTAAAAACATGGTTCTCAAGTTGGATTTACACAGAACGAACCTTACCTTGTAGACTTGTTTTTGTATTCGATTGCACTGCTTTTCGAGTTTTTATTTTTTATTTTTTTATGTAAACATGTTTTGCTTCAACATCTGACACAGCATTCTAAAAACATGGTTCTCAAGTTGAAAAAAAAAAAGACTTCCTTCCATTGCCCACAAAACTGTCTGTGTATGGCCCAAACATTTTTCTTTGGCTGTCTTCCAAGCATGGCTGTTTTCTTCAAGATAAGTAAATTTAATTGTTGTCATTGTGTCAGGATGCTGCAGAGCAGAGAAAAGCACAGATGCATCAGGCGGACCTGTCTCGGCAGAAGAACCAGAACCTCAGTGAACTCGAGGAAGAGGCAAGGGACCGGGCTCAGTACCTGTTGGAACGGGCGAACGCCCTGAGAATGGAACAAGAGGATGAAGTCAAGAAGCTCAATGAGGTAGATAGGACCACAATGAAAAGTCAAATGATAACCGTCTCATTTCGGAAGCTGCGTCCTCCAGAGGTTGCATTTGTTGGCCACAGACATCGAGGCTGTCTCATTTAAGTCATGTTTAAGAAAAGTACAGTCATGAGACCTCCTCAATGACGTATGCGGCCAACAAATGTGACATCCAGAGGACGCAGCCTCGGAAATTAGATGCAGTGCATGACCCACTTACTGTAATGTTGCCTAAATGCAAATGTTGCTTTTGTACTCCTGCAGTTAATTCAGGAAGTGCAGTGCCATGTTGTCCGGGATGCACAAATTCAGGAGAAGAAACAGAACCATGCAGAGTGGCAGGAGGAAGAGAAGAGACTGGATGCCATGATGCAGGTGGATCGTCGCCGGGCCTTAGAAACCCAGAAACAAATTGAACAGCTGCTAAAGCAGCAAAGGATTGAGTAAGGATGTTCACGCTCTGTATTCTGTATACTCTACAATGCTCCGTATACAATACAGTGCTCTGTTCTCTGTGGTTAATGGGTGGGTGTTCTTAAAGTGGGAAGATGTGCATCCTGGATCAGATCCAGATGTGTCTGGAGGAGAAAATGCTACAGGATGAGTTGAAGGAGCAGGAGGGTCAGCAGTTGTTGGAAAACATGGAGAGGATGCAGATGGAGGAGCTCAAGGTACATGCAATGAATCTCTAGATCAGTTGAAATTATAAATAGTCTACTAACTCACATAGATCAGTATGTGTGAGTTCATCTGTGTGTGATATTATCACAGGCCATTGAAAGAAAGAAGGAGGAGCAGAGGAATTTGCTTCAAGAGATTCAGAAGATAAATGAAGAGAATTTGCTTGCTAAAGAGCAGAAAAAGGAAGAAGAGAGATTAGCAGATCTGCGAGCTGTAGAGTATACACGTAAGAAATTGGTAAGAAAAGTCTTTAATGGCTTTCTCACTATCTTGCTTCTTTCGTCACCCACCACTGTAATGTTAAACTAGGCCTTTAAAATCAGAGGCAGACTCTGATTTAAAAAAATATTTAAAAACTAGTTTCTTTATAAAACACACAACAGACTAGGAAAAAATATGAAAAATAACAGAACACATATACAGAACAAAAAAAAAAACAAAAAAAAAAGTTTTATGTACGCGATTATGTAGGCCTATAGTTTATGTGTGAGGTTGTGTTGTGTGTGTGTGTGTGCTTATCTGAATATAATTACACTGTATATGTAAAGAAAGGTGAGAGAAGAAAAAGAGAAGAGGGGAAAAGGTGACTTTGGCCCATCCATCCAAGCTGTCCAGCTGCAAGAGCCCCCGGTTCCCACAGCTATCAAACATTTAAATAACACAAAAAGAGAGAGAAGATATACACTGAACAAAATTATAAACGCAACACTTTTGTTTTTGCCCACATTTTTCATGAGCTGAACTCAAAGATCTAAGACTTTTTCTATGTACA